TTTAAACACGAAGGCGCGCTATATAAGGAAGTCTTCCCTGGGAAGACCTAGGCTCATTTGTCACTCACCGTTGACGTGTGCGGGTCAAATTTAAATGCTGGTAGACGAACAAAAGGAGCTAATGAGATATCTATTGTTTACTTCCACCAGCATGGTGGCATGAGGTAACGTGCGAACCACCTACTTCGATCTCAAATTTACCGCCACAAATAAAGACAGTTTCCATTGGAGAAAGGAAATACAAATCTCAAAAATTCTTGTATTGTGATGAAGACATAAAACAATTTTGAGGAATGCGCCCGCTGTTCACTGCTTTGGAGTAGCTGTAGCTCAAGCTGACTTGACTCTAAGAGTTCTACATCACACGACGGTTGATTGACAAATAGTCCAGTAGGACCTAAGGCTCCTTTTATAGCGCGCCTTCGTGTTTAAATGGTACTCTTTCCGAATTTTACATAAAAACTATGTATCTGTTAGTTAGGTCAGACAAGGGACTAGCATTTTTCTTGGGGAAGGAGTGCGGTGGGGGCTAGTTCACCTTTGGTGGAATGTATATGACAACAAAACTTTTTTACATGAACTACCGCTGTATACCTGGATACACTTGCCTTGCGTTCTGGCTTTATTTAGGATCAACTTTCAGACTCTTGTATTTTTCTGTACATTCAGTATTGGAAGCAAAGAATTCGAAAAAGAGTATTTCAATTTTTGTACCTCGGATTTTTTTTTTTTTTACCTGGATATAGCACACCTGCCCCAGACCGGAAGTGAAGCAGCACTGAACACTTCCTTTTTTCAGAAGGAAAGCGAGGCTGATTCAAATCCGTCAAGTTAGAAAAATAATATGGCTGCAAGCGCGCTGTCGAAATTCTCCCGTATATTTGGTCGCAGGTCGGCAGTAGTCATAGGAATGATTCACGTGCAGGCACTCCCAGGTAATCAACTTGAATCAAGCATTCCTCTCTTACTTTTTGATCAACTGTAGATATGGTTGATTGTCGGGTTGAAGTTGCGCTTGACTTTTTCCTTTACAGCTGTCGTCCTTAGCTTTGCAGCTTGCTTTCTAACTAATTAATTCTCCATCACGTCGCGCATGAAATGTAAAATCAGGTTGGTTTTAAATGAGGTGAAGATATAAATTTTATATTTGTATCAGTTCACCACTAAATATATTTACAAGTATTTGTTTTTATCTAGTCAACCTCAATATTGCAGCTATAACGGTAAGCCGGAAGCCTCAAGTAATTGTTAATTAACTACCGAAGTCTATTAGTTTTGGAAGATCTGTTCGTCTTGCGCAAGTGAACCAGTTGTTTTTTTATTTATTTCGAGCGTAAAGAACAATCTGCTATAGCGCCAGAATCTTGTGCCTCATAGGGGTTTATTAAAGCATATGGATGGCTGTAGCTATAAAGATAAAAGCCAGTCTACTCTAGGAGCAGGATTTACCGCCAACGGAATCTAAAAATCCTTTACCTATTTCAGATGAAAACATGTCTTTATTCTCACCTATTTTCAATTGTACATGTAGCTGATTTTTCCAATAACTCCTGACATACTTTGAATCCTTCTTTCTGCCAAGGAACACCCAAGAATCACCTGTCTATGACTGAAATAGTGAATATGGCTCGAACTGATGCAACAAATTTTAAAAATGCTGGAGTGGTAAGAGCATCTGATCGCTTACGCATAAAGTTTCAATCCACTTAGAATCCTAGGAAATCTTACATAAAACTTCCAAAGCAAAACTAAAGCTGTGGCTGTCTTCGGGGGATATCAGGTTTCATATACTAGATATATGCGAAATAATTACTCAACACATTGTTTATGGAAATATTGATCATAAATATCACCAGAGGTGGCTTTACTAACACCTTACTACCAAACATCAGAATGTATATTCTCCATTCTGTTCTCTATTCATTTCCTAAGGTGCTATCGAGGAAAATCAAGAGCTCATTTAGTTAGTGATCATTTCCTTTATTCTTGTGGCCTTAATGTGTGATTTTGGGCCAATATTATACAGAGAAATTAGATGAAAGTCACTCCTAGAGATCAAAGGGTTAATGATCATCAATGAGAATTTTGAATTTCTTTTCTTGGATTGAGCCCTTGAAAGGAGACTAATCTGGGCATGGCTCACTAATTTTTTATCTCAGAAAATAAAGGATACCACTTTGAAGATAACTGATGATTGATTGTTGAAAGGATGGCAATCACCTCCAAAAGAATATGATGATAACTCTTTTCTTAACAACTCTAAGAGATACTTAGGATAATTTGAAAATAACTTTAAACATATGCACCTCTATCAGCTGATCATCACTCTGTATAAATTCGCTCTGTATAAATAGTAGTATACAGTCATTTAAACCTTATTGCTGACAAAGACCAGCAGTATTGCGATCCTCATTTGAAAGGTTTACTCTACAAGATAATTGATGGCAACACTTAATTTCAATTTTCAACCGCCACCCAGTTAGCCCAATGGATAGTGCGCTGGACTGTTGTGTGGGAGGTTGAGGGTTCGAGCCCCGGCCGGACCAACACTCAAGGTCTTAAAATAATTGAGAAGAATTTGCTACCTTTCTATAACATGAAG